AGGGGTGGAGTCTAGGCTGTCAATCAGGATCTAGCCAATGAGGCCTCTGTGTGGGCATGGCCTTCCCCTAAGGATTCTGGGAGTTCCTGTTTTTCCTCCTTAGAGGTGGGAGACATCTCTCTCTCTCTCTGTACACTCCCTTGGAGACACTCTACTGACAAGGCTGACTCCCTGAGAGGCATCCCTGAGGAGAAGCCACATGGACCTACCCTGGTGCAGCTCTGGAAGCTGGAGAAGCCTTGTGGAGACCCCTGCCAGCGCTGAGATGCTTACACCGCCAATGGATCCAAAGACTTTCCACCCACTGGCCTGTGATTGTCCTGCATTCAGTGTCATTGCATGCACTGCATGAGTCTCATGAGGACTTTATAGATTGATATCAGACATATGGGCTAATATCAGATTTATGGGTTTGGACTGGACTGAATTGGGATGCTTTCTTAAAGTACAATTACCCTTTATATAAAACTCTCTCTTATACACATATGTGTGCTTATGAATTTGTTTCTCTAGTATACCCGGACTAGAGAATGGACGCCCGGACAGAGAGGATGGATAAGCGTGCCAATTAACCCAGGTTCAACAGCCAAAGAGCAAGTCCCAGTAGCTCCCCCAGGAGTCACTTGTGGAGCAAGCACAATTCTGAATAAGAATAGAAAGTGAAGCCAGGGACTCCTCTTTTCCCTGAACCTGTGCTGCATCTGGGAGCAGGCGGAAAGGAGAGGAGAGGAAGTTCTGAAAGCCGAAGACATTGTCTAAAGTCAGCGAGGCCACCATGCTAGAATCAACCCTTTCCTTCCCACCATCCCCCCAAGGCGTCGCCATCACCTGAGGAGGCTCCGCCTGCTGATAACCCCTCTTGCAGAAGTGGATTCCCCTGTTAGGAATCCAGGGAGCCTGGCTTGCAGGGAGCGCAGGGCAGAAAGGCTCTGATTGCTGCTGCCTGCTGCTCCTTTAACCCAGGACGATGGCGGCGGCACTGGTGACAGAGGGCACAGATCATCCACATTGCCAGGGAATGCAACTTCTGTCTGTGTCCTTTCTCTCATTCCGTTAGTGCTTCTCCTTTCTCTGCACTCCCCCCAGCGCCCATTGCTTCCTTGCCCCCTCCAGCACACGAAGAGTAGCAGCCATCTGCAAAGCTCTCTGCCTTGCTCCTCGAAAGCAGTTTCTAGAAGCCACAGGGCAGCTCCTGAATGCACAACACGGGAGCGGAGCACATTCCTCCCCAGCTGATGATGAGATGAGATGAGAGAGGGCCCCGCAGAGGCACGAGCGGATCTGGGAGTTGGGCCTGGAGAGGTTTGGTTTGCCACACCGTGGGTAGAGTTTCTCGTAGAAAATGTTCTAGGAGGATGAGCCAGGGACCCAGTGTGAGTCAAGGGGAGGAAAGCCCCTCACCTGCTTCTCCTAGAAGGAGAGCCAGGGCTCGGGGAGGAGTTTGGCTTCCGGGACATTGGACGATGGGGCGGAACCTGAGCTGAGAGTCTGTTTCATGGAGCTGGCTTGGATCTGTTCTTGGCTCCCCACTGCTGGGGTGAGGTGGGAGTGGGGGTTTGTTTCTCAACTATGCTCTCCTCCCTTCGAGACTTCCCGTCTTCCTCCCCTCCCCATCCTCAAGCCCCTTCCAGAGACCTACCTTGGGCTTGAAGGCAATGAGCTTCAAGATCATCTCCACCGTGAAGAGGCCGGTGAAGAGCATGTTGAGGATGTTCATGGCGATTTTGAACAGGCAGCTCTGGCCGTAGTGCTGATGGGGGGAGGGGAAGAGACACCATAAAAACCAGGCAGAGAGCCCCTCCCCACCTTCTGACCAACCCTGGGGAGACGCGCCTCTCAAACAGAGGTCCTCCTTCTAACCAGCCCCTGGCAGGAGAGCCACCTCTCCTGGGCAGTCCGGCGGGCTCAGGAGCACAGGCGTCATCCCCGTCTCTGAAAAACTGAGGGTGAGCAGGGTTCGGTGTTCTTTCTTTGATGGGATGGGACAACTTTACAGAGACCCCCGGCACTCGAGGGCTCTCACACATGCTGGTTTCCCAGAAGACACACCGATCGAACATCGTCTCCAGATCCCACGGCCTCCGGACACGAATGCACAAGGGGCGCGCACCTCCCCTGTTCTCCA